ACACACACACACACACACACACACACACACACACACACACACACACACACACACACACACACACACACACACACACATACACACACACGCACACAGCCAGTGCGGTCTACCACCATGCTCCTCAACATCAGAATCCGTGAACCAAAAAAAAAAAAAATCAACCAAATTTAAGGCAATTACGAACGCAATGACTGAACTTCAATCGACGCAGGATCGAACGGCCTACATCGACGACCGACCACGCATGGCGGCTGCGATCTCCATAAGCTCGTGGCACATCATCCTCTGCTTCTCTTCGGACACCGCACAGTGCGCTTTTTGGACTGCAACTTCCTGCTCGAGTATGTCGCATTGCCTCGTGAATATGCTGCATTGCCGCTTGCTAGACGAATCGATCGTCGCCGACATCAGCTCACCATGGCGGTCCATGACATCAGCGATCGACTCCAACGCCTGTTGACGCGCATTCTTCTGCTTCCCGCATCCATCCCCAGTGCCTGCGTTGTTGTCGGAGTCCTTCGCAAAAGACCGTTCTTCAGGGCAGCCATCACCTCCGGCCTCGCTACCAACAAACTCCCCACCAACTGCCCCTCGCCTGGGCAGCTGCACTCCGTCCGGATTGCCGGTGTCGGCGGCGTTGGGAGGGAAAATGGTACGGTTCCCCAACGTGCCTGCGTGGATCTCATTGTACACCAGCCTATCCATCCGGAACTTGAAGTTGTGCTCCTTCCTTTCTTCATTCGATAGCTTGAAGAGATCTATGTGACTGCTGGCATTCTGAAACCTCTATATCTTCTTGTTGTTTTGGAAGAGATTGTCCCACTTCTTCATGCAGTCGTCGGCGTCTTAAGGCCTCCCCACGATCGCCATGTGTTTCACAATGTCGTCGCACTTCCACTCCTTCGTGCGCATCCGCCCGTAATTGTGACCCAGCCCGGCGAGGTGCTTCTCTTGCTGCCGCTTGCATCTCACGAGGGCCATTTGTTCTTCTGGAGACCAATACGTCACAGACTTCCCGCCGTCGTCGCTGACCCCACCTCTGCCGCCACCTCTGCCGCCACGGCCAACGGATCGACCACGAACAGCATCTCTGCCTCGTCCTTTCCCCCTCCCACCCGTCTTCCCCATAGGCCAAATAAGAATGTCGTCGTCGTCGTCCTCTGCTTCCATGTCCTCCCTGAATCCTTCGTCTGCATAGTCACCGGCACCGCCATCGTCATCGCTGCCATCGCTGTGTGCCCGCATGTTGGACACTCCTCGTGTGATGTTCTCCATAGTTGGTCGTGGATGCACTGGTGGTATGCGGGCGCCGTCATCCCTCAGGTCGGGTTCGGTCGGCGTTGTGCGGTTCGACATCGAAGGACGTGCACCTCCGATGCGCGAGGACCCGACTGCCACTCCAGTGCATGCGGTTCCGCCACTTGTCAATTGATTGGCGGACGGTGCAGTCGATCCATGCTGCCGGCCTGCTGGCGATGGCCCAAAACCGCCAGTAACGGACGCACCGCCACAAAGTGTGGACTATGCTCACTTCCAGCATGTTGAAGGCCACGTGGCGAAGGATCGGCGTCGATGATGAACATACGTCTCACGTCCCTGGCGCCGCCAAAACACAACCCGAAACTAAGATCAAGTCCCCCATCGTCGTCATCTCCCAAGCCTTGGCGCAGGAGTGAGGTGTACTCGTCGCCTTCGTTGCTAGCCGCCCCGCCTGCTCGTACCGTCTGCGACAACAGCTGCGTCGACCCGCTGGCGAGAGGCAACGTTGGAAGTCCGTCCGTCTCCGGCTCCTCATCCGACGGGGGCAGTGGCGTCTGCCACGACTCTAGATGGGCGTATATGGACGGGTCATACCGCCTTGCCTGTCCTGCCGTCGCAGGTCGTCTTTCGCTGTGACCTGCAGCCATATCCGCGCGTGCCTGCATGTCCGCCATCGGACGTTCCCCTGCCTGCCGTTTCGATGACGCCCCTTGCTTGCGATGTTGCTTCCATGGCCGACACGACAAACACACGTGGAGGAAGACGACAAACAGGAAGACGACCACAACGAGCACCAGCAGAGGCAATCTCCTATGCATGTCTGCCATCAATTGAATCGCGGGCAGGCATACTTCCACGCGACTACTGCAAAAGTTTCTTCTAACATGCCAGTGTATAGGGCCGATGGACCTTCATATGCCGACAACCACTAGAGAACACGACAAAGGTGTCTGCCTTCGATTCAAAAATCGACCGTTGCAGGTCGTGCACTTCCCGAAGCGCATCCGTATGTCATCCCGCGCACGTCGACGTCCTCCTCCGCCACCCGCAAGCGATCCAACAGTCCACTACAGACGCCCTCCTGCCCACGGTCGGGACCCCTCGCTCCACCCCATCGGCCAACGGCTACCATTGGTGGCCGTTGCCGGTGTCGCCCCGCGGAAAACCTCTGATGTCCGACCACCCACCCGACGGACCGCTCCTGGACCAGCAACCCCGTGTCGACGGGGCCATGCGCGCGATGCAACGATTCCGTGAAACTCGGGAATCCTAAATTTTTCAGTAGGTTGGGGGCTACTGGAAAATTTAGGACGATTTTGCCTGGGGTATCCTAAATCCTTTAGGACTCGTCCTAACGTCGTTTTCACATTTTCGATCTCGAAAATGGATTTAGGATTGCGTGCCACGAAGATGCAATCCTAAAAACAGGCACTTTTAGGAGTCTCTAACGAGACCCTTAGTCGTTAGCTTTCAATCACCCAGAGTGTTGCGAGGAGTTGATTGTTTTGTCCCCTCTGTCCTCCTTTTCCGTCACATGTATGACATGTAATAATCAGATCGCACCCAACGTAGCAGGGGCAAGATATTTGCACGTGTGTTGAACACGATCGGCACACTGAACCAATGTGTTGTTCCTCACGTGCGCGCGCGCATACTATCACGGTCTCGAGGAAGCTAAGTCGCCACGTGCGTGCTCGTCTACGTGAGTCAGCCGTGAACCCCGTATAAGGATGCAGGGGACCGAGCTTGCTAAACTGATATGACTGCGGAATTTCCCTCTTGGATGTCCGATCGTGAGAGCCTGAAGGACCTGGAATATCGTGAATACTGGGATGAACAACTCAGACGAGAGGGAAATTTAAGAAATCCGAAATTTCCCTGTCTAACAGAAAATAACCGATTGTGCGCAAGGAATTTTCACTTTGCCATAGCTAACGACACCAGGGGCCCAGACTACCCGGATAATTACAAGACACAATATTTCATATCCCCCGGCTTCGTTGTTATTACCACCAGTTTTCCTCCCTTTCACCTCCTCCTTTCATATCACCAGCTCACGGTGGTGTCGTGGAACTCTATAGCCTGCTATTGACCCCGCAAACTATGCGAACAGTGTCGGCGACACCAGGCACAGCGAGCCTCGAAAATCGCCCGACGAGACGGAACCATGGCCGCGCGGCCCCGACAATTGGTCAAACCACACGATCAACCGCGAAGGCAAAACCAGAAGAGATGGTGATTTCAGTTTCCGGGTTTTGGAGCTGAGTTCGTTGGCAGGAGCAAGGTTGTTAGGATTTTGTTCGAGAATGCAAGAGTGTTTAGATATGTCGGTACTATGATTGTGGAAAGAGTACCTCGGGATCTTTAGTCTGAGATGCACTGTGAATGCCATCTGCCTTATGCTGCATGATATTTGCGGCCTCTTTTCTATGCACGCACCACGAGAGGTGGACTAACATCTTATTCGTTAAAACAGGACATTATATTTTAAATTGGTACTCACTTGCTATTAATATCAGGTTGAAATCACTATATTTTAAACGTGAATGAAACTTAGGATATGACTAGTGAACCCAAAAACGCAATTGACAAGTCATAAATCGGCATTGAAGTGAAGATTCAAGACAATCACACACTAAACGAGAATCCATCATCTTGGATAAATTTTGTAACTTAAAAGATGTAACTGACATGATATTGTCATAAATTGAAACTCAAGTGAACAGTCAATGCAATGAGACACCTAATGAGAAGGTTGAACTCTAGATTTCATCGCACTTCAATCAATTTTGTATGAGCATTGAGTCGGGCTTATTTTACATGATATTGTGGCATGTGTAAAATGGAACTCAACCGAGCAATCATACATTGAACGAGATGGTCTAAGTACAGATTTCGTCGCACTTCGATAAACATCCCAATCATGAAGACAATTTAATATTCAATTTATTCGATTCAAAAAATTAATCGAAGATAAAATAACTGAACTCCAACTTGAATGTTTGAATTGCCATTGTTCAGTCCGACATCAAAACTTAGGTACAGAGTTGAGGCAATCACATTAAGAGGTTCGAATTGTGTAACTTAATAAATTGAGGCAATCACATGATGGTTTAAGTATGGATTTCATCGCACTTTGATAATTTTGTAACTCAAAAGACGTAACTGGCATAGCATTGTCATAAATTGAAACTGAAGCGAACAATCAACGCAATGAGACACTGAACGAGAGTGTTGAAGTTCAACTTTAGATTTCATCGCAGATCGATCAATTTTGTATGAACACTGAGTCGAACGTATTTTACATGACATTGTGACATACATAAATTGGAACCCAATTAAAGAGTCAAGGTAAGCACACTGTGAAGGAGATGGTTTGAGTACGGATTCCGTTGCACTTCGATAAACATCGTAAGCATGAAGACAATTTAATATTGTATTTGGTATAAGACTATATCTTCAACTTTCCTGCCCACTTACGCTAAGGCACGCGCCATGCTGTTTGCGCAGCCCTAAGAGGCGGCAAAAGAAAAGTCGCTTCGCTTTTATTCTTTGAGGCTTTTCTCTGATAAAACTGTGACGAGCCTTCGGATTCACCAATGAATTTAGAACTTTCATCTCTAAGTCGTTTCCAACATATAGTGAAGCGATTGAACTCTCATGTTGCCGTGAGAGGGACTCATCTTGAGACCATACTATAAATTCAAAAACTTCAATACCTATCATAGATAAGGGTCGGGAGTTAGTTGTGTTTTTCCACCCTCCGAACCGCAGGTGACAATTTAACTTATCGAATTCAAAAAATTAATAAAAGATAAAAGAACTGAACCTCAACTTGAATGCTTGAATTGCCATTGTCCGGTCTGACATCAAAACTTAAGTACAAAATTAGGACAATCTCACGAAGAGGTTCAAATTGTGTAAATCATGAGAAAATGTACTATGAACTTCATTTGAGAACGTAAAACTGCATGCATAGTAGCGAAAAGTTTGTAAACTCAAGATTTAGGTAGGTCTTATGTTATGAGCAACCATGATCTAAACTTTTGAAAAACGCTATCATTTGCAAAAACATCTACGAGCGTCCTTCCCGTCCCATGAGAACCAAACCCGTACAAGGCATTCATTATTAACCCGAAAGCTAGGGTTTCTGGCTCTCCCTTCGTCGCCACGTTCGAGAACATGAAAATATATTTCATCCTTACAAAGGTACTAACATCAACAAATGACTTACAAATGACATCACGCACACAACATGCCACTTGCTCTACCTCACGCCACTTGTCACCCTCATCAATTTGACCGGCAATCACTAAATCGGACTGTCCGTTCTCGTCGACTCGTAGAGGATGCGAGGAGTGTCCATACTACGACCATTGGTTCTAAGCTTGTTCTGAGAAACAAGCACTACAGTGTCTACCAAAGTTCGCTTCTGGTTCGAACATGCCACACATAACCCCAAAAACTCTCACGAGAAGCGGGACTTCATTTTATGGGGAGTGTAATGAGGGACTGTTGGAAAGGCAAACTGTCGAAAGAGCTTGTCGGGGTCAACTGCAAGACTTCCAGATGGGAATGCAATTGTAAGACTTGTTCTGTTTCCATAGTCTGGTTCATACTATCCGACGCATATAGGGGTCTACACAGGGAATACTTCACGAGATATTTATGGACAGCCAGGGTAGAAACCCAAAGGTGCGATGACTTTGGTAGTGAGTAGGCGCTTGCACTAGTGTGTCCGACGGTTGACCTTTCTTGCGTACAATAAAAATTTTCAAGTTCGACTGGATCCGAACTTGCGAGAATAGGGAACCCCCAACAACGCAGCTGCGGGACTGTTGGGCGAATTTTCCTTCTTGGAAGCCTGGATCCCTTCGAACTTGAACTTCTGTCACTGCAAGACTATGTGCGGCAGGAATATAAAGAACATGCCTCTTCGACCCCACATCAACCCCCCTAAAGCCCAATGCGACATTTCAATGAGGCGAGCACGTGTGCTGGCAACTCTAACTTCTGCACTTGAATTGCGGAATGCGGAAGGCGTGGATTTGCAGGCGGGTGCAATGAAGGATCTGACATAGCATGATCCTGAAAGTGCGTCGGGATCCAAACTTGTCAGAGATCAGATTCTTGCAACTACATTGATTTTACTGGTGGGAGGTCATCTAAACCTTTTTTGTGTCGACTCCCGCAACAACAATTTTGTCTGCCACAGTAGTCGACAATGGCAGCCCATAAGCTTCGCGCACCGTCGAACCGCACTGGTGAGCATAGAGGTTGTTGCGGGGTCGAAGAGGCCTGTTTATTTGCTTTCCGTCTATCTGACATTGACAAAAAAGCGGGCGTTGCGCGCACAGTGCAAGAGAACAGCGCAAGGGGGGTTAAGGGGGGTTGTTGCGCACACAGTGCAAGTGCGAATGCGGCTCGAGAAGCGGTCGACGTGGAGGTTCGAACCAAAGATGTGACGGAGGCAGGCTCTCTATGTTCTCTAGGGACCGGATTCGTGAGAGATCGGATACCCGCGACTGCAGTGATTGGATAATCGGACTTACACTTTTTTCACTTCAAGACTATGCATGGTATAACTTAAAAGAACATGGCTCTTGGAACCCTCAACAACCCTTATAAACCCCCAATGAGGTTTTTCAAAATTTCGTGAGAACTGGTTTTCCGCGACTGCAGTGATTGGACTGTAGGACTTGCACATTTTCCACTACAAAACTATGCATGGGAGAACTAAAAAGAACATGGTTCTTGGACTACTCACCAACCCCCATAAACCCCCCATGTCGTTTGTCAACAAGACGAGCTCATGTATTGCCAGTGTTCATTTCTGCAGTCCAAATGCCAAAAGGGGAAGACGTGGATCTGCAAGTGGGTGCA